CTTTTGTGAGAGTTTTTGTAATTTTTGTAACTTTGATGTTATTATTTTACTAATTTAAATTTCTATGTGCTTAATGGTAATCGCTGAAATCCATCTAAGTTGTTTCTCAGTTTTAAAATCTCTGAATTTTAGAATGTTTTTTGTAATTTAAATATGGCTAAATGGCACTTATATATCCTATTGTTTTGCTCTTATAATAGTTATATACCCTAAGTTACAAAACATAGCAAAAAATACCTTAAGTTGGTAACTGTTTAAATTTAGCTAACAGTGTTAAAAATTACATGAAAAGACAATAATGCCCCTCCTTAGGAATTAACCCCCCCCCCCCCCTAGTGAAAGCTCTTATTTTCTACTGTTACCCATATTAAAGAGGAAGAAGAAGTTGGAGGCCACGAAAAGAAGATGATGATGATGAAAATCATCTAATTTGTAGGGGGGAGGTAGGTAATACAGTAAATAATATAATAAATAAGGGTAAGAAGTATTCAAGTTGGTCATAGGTCCAGCGCGTGGGAATATTCCAGAGAATATTCTCACAACTGGTTAATAGAAGGTACCAACTTGTAAATTTTTGACAACTTAGAGTATTTTTTTGTTATATTTTATAACTTAGGGTATATAACTGCTTCAAGAGCGAAACACATAGGGTATATAAATGTAATTTAGCATTTAAACTTTTGAGCTTGTCCCTACAATTTTTAAAATATTAAGGGTGTTAATTACAAATTTTAAATTTTTAGATATCATGTTTGTTTTTAAGTTTTAAAATGTCAATGTGTTTTGTGTAATTTTAAACTTTTAAGGCTATTATATGCAATTTTTGAAACTTTTGGGTTTTTTTATAATACTTCATGTATTATAATATGTTATCTACGTATAATTTCTTAATCTTATTTTTTTCTATATTTTTGAGCTATAGGTAGTTCATATGGAGTTAATATATGATATAATTAGTATTTGGATTATATTTTTGAGCTATAGGTAGTTCATATGGAGTTAATATATGATATAATTAGTATTTGGATAGATTAAAATTTAAATGAAATATTCAAAATAACTTTTTTTAAATTGTTGACCTATAGATAGTTCACGTAGAATTAGATAAGATATGATTAAAATTAGAATAGATTAGGATAACAATATAATATTCAAAAAAAGCTAAGGGTAATACTGACCATAGAAAGATTTTCCCGAACGTGTGCTTCTAAAGTGAGTATGATGTATCAGCATGACGGTTAAATAAGTACCAAAATAATAAAATCATTTATGCGAATAATGAACATAATCACGGATACAGGAGCTACTTGTAATGAAAAGTAATGAAGCAATTAATATGTAAATAAATTATTTTAAATGTTTTCCAATATTTTTTACTGCGAGTTTGTGTCAGTTGAAACTGCAAATAGAACGCAATTTCTATCAAGACCCATTTGTTTCGTCAAAAAAAATGCAAAAAGTGGTAGGAAGTGACCCATTAGAAAACTAACGAGAGAAAATTTTGATGTTTTCCCTCACAATCGGATGTTTGGTTCGAAAAAAATAAAAAAGAAAGTGAAGGAAAGATGGGGCGCCACGTCAGACTTTCCCCAGAAATTTCCAACATCCACAGTTTAGAGTTGTTGTATTGCTGTTAGAGCATCTCCAACCCAACTCCAAAAACTCAAAATGGAGCAACAACTGTACCAAATCTTCCTCCAACCGAACTGCAAATTCAGCTCCATTTTGATGAGGTGCTACAGTGTTGCGTCAGATTTGACGCATCACTGTAGATATGGAGATTTTAGTTTTTCCCAAGTTTGCCCTTATAGTTTGTTATAACAAATCAAATATTCCAACTATATCTCATTTTATAGTTTGTAAATAAAATGAATATTCTTTTTGGTGTAAAATTTAGTGTAATTGTTAGAGATGGAATAGTGATTTAGTGTAAAAACTACACCAACTTGATGTAAAAACTATACTATTTTGGGTTTTTGGGTTGGAGATGCTCTTAATGATACATATCAAAACTCCAACAACATAACTCCTGTACCTAGATTCCATCCTCTATAAAAGAGTATAAATATATCAATATTTTTACTTCACGGGTTCTCATTGATCCCCTTAATCATTTGCCTCACACGCTTAATTAGCTCAAGCTCAGTACACCTACAATCAAAAAAGTGGGTCCTAAAATTAATTTAACCATCCATGATTAGTCATCGACCTTAGCACATCATCATCATATTCTTTTATTATCACTAAATTACCCAACGTCATTACTGTCATCATGATCCCCATCATCACAATCACCTAACTATCTTATATATCTACATATATTTAGCCGTGGCCATTTATGCTACATCCACATGCTCATAGTATTTACAATGAGAAAACTAGTTCGGCTTGCGATGCCTATAGAATTCAGCAACATGACCCTCATTTTGAGGGCAAAGAGTCGGAGGAGGAGGCCGAGGAGGTGCGCGAGCACGGTGAGGCTCGGTAACAGGAAGCGGAGGATGACACTGAGGCGGCTCGTGCAGTGGTCGTCGTCGCAGCGGTGGCGAGCGGTGGTGGCCGAGGTAATTGGTCCGTTTAAGAGAGCAGTCATGGAGATGACGCTGTCTGGGGCTTTGCCTACTGCTCGATCGTTTCCATTTCCGCACATATGATTCATTGTTAATTACTAGCTATTCTGTGTGAAGAAAGAGATTAATTGTAAATTTTCATATTACCAAATAAAATTTCGTCGATACTCTTATTCTTCATCCCTTTTTTTTCTAAAAGAAAAATATTTAAGGCGAGGGGATTCAGTTAACACACAGTTTATCGAGTTTTTTTGTAAAATTTTATAAAGCGCAAGCTAGGGAGCGTGAGCAAGTCACAGTCGTCCATTTATATTTATAGTCTGAATCCAATATCTCTATATTACTATATGAGAATCACAAACAAATTCAGAAGATTGATGGATGCTTAATTATGAGTAATACCGTGTTTAATTCAACGAAGCATGCAGATCAGTGCGTGTGTGTGTATAATACAAAGCTACATGATGATGAGTTCAAAGCGTAAGTGAGCATGTTGAACAACAAATTGTCACTATCCCAAGCGATTTTCTAACTTGCGTTTTGAAAGGGAAATATGGATACAAACGAGGAGCTACCGACCGTACATGCGGAATATATGGTTTTCGCCAGTATACGTCTGGAATATGGTTGACTCGCTAAACTCCAGCTATCACAATTAACGCAAGTGCGACGCAGTACATTACATTGATTTCTTTTATTTAATCAAATGTACGGTCTGGCATTTTGAAATTTAATCAGTATTACCATATTTATATCAAAAAAAAGAAAGGAAAAAAGAAAACATGAGTCTTGGTACACTATTGTTCAACCCAATTGAATACTGAAATGGGTTCCGTCTTTAAATATCATGCACAGCAGAACAGTGATTAAGTAAAGGAAATTTTTTTTGAAATAGGCCGGTTTTGAAAAACATTTAGCAAAACCGATCGTTTTGCTAAATATTTAGCAAAACCGACCTCTTTTTGGCCAGCTCACCAAGGTTGGCTGCAAAGATATCGGTTTCGTTGAGTTTGGGTTTTGAAACACACAAGACTAGTAGTCTCGTGTGTTTAGTGACCGCTAATCAGCCACTAAACTAAACTTAGAAAACCCACAAGACTGCTAGTCACGTGGGTTTTCCCTTCACAAATATAAAACCCATGGACTACTACGTACTAACTAGTGGGAATTTGTGGGTGATTTGAATCTTTTGTGGATTTCTAGGGTTTTAGGGCTCCGATGAGAAGCGAATCGGATCAGCTGGATGGCGATGGCGGTGTTCTTGAAGTCTCAGGGGATCAGGTTCGGAAAGGTCTTCTCTTCGCCGCTGGATCAGGCGATGGTGACTGTTGGCTTCAACTGCCATGTAATTCTTCTCAATTTTCAGTAGAAGCTACTGGGTTGAAGTGTTAAAAATTGGATTTTGATGGGGTTTATACAGTAATTGGTTGCTATTTCGTAATTTGTGCTTCAACTGGAGCATTCAAAGTTTGATTTTTGAGTTGAAACCTGATTCCTAATTTATGTTAGGAATTTACGGATGGAATCGTTAAAAATTAGATTTTGCGTCGGAATTGTGTAGACATTGGTCACTTATATTTGGATGTTTGTGAAGAGAAAACCCACGAGACTAGTAGTCCCGTGGGTTTTCTGAGTTTAATTTAGTGGCCGATTGGCGGTCTCTAAACACACAGGACTACTAGTCCTATGTTTCAAAAGCCAAATTCAACAAAACCGACATCTTTTTGGTCAGCCTTAGCCAAAAAAAGATCGGTTTTGCTAAATATTTTTTAAAACCAGCCCATTTCAAAAATTTCTCCTTAATAAAATAATAAATAAATAAATAAATAGAATGTAGGATTGTTTTCAAGAACAACAAATATGACAACTAAGTATAAGAATCAAAGTTTGGGTATTACTATTTAAACCATAGTCAACCTTTATCGGTACCTCGCCATCATATCTAGGACTTAAGAGCTCGTCATTACCGGACTACAATAGCAACTTGGCTCAAAGAATAGCTTCATGAGTTGCCTGCGGACAGACGACAGCGATGAAGAGTTGGAGTAACGCCAGAGAACTCTTAGGAAGATTTCTCTCAATAAAAGAGCTGCATATTTTTACTTCAGCTTTTGGTGAACCAAGGATGAACTACTCACCTTCGTAGTTTTGAAATGGAAGCTGGAGGAATAGCCAACATATCTCCTCACAGTAATGATGACTGCAACCCCACTTTTTTTTTCCAACTTGTAACAGAACAATCAACGCTCATTCACACACACAAAAGGAATGACAAGAGAATCAAAAGATACAGACAAAAGAATCAGGATCTCGCTCTCTATAGTAAACTAAAAGCTCAGGGATAGCAGAATGGAGATTGCCCTGTACAAGACAGTAGTACTCATCAGTATTGACATGCACAATCTAAAATTCACAATAAAACCAATCATGATAATCATAATAAAGAATGAATATAGGTTTACATACAACCACCAGTTCACGAGGCACCGACCCATACAGTACAGATGGTTTTCCAAATCCAAAAAATATTAACATACATTCATGCAAATAACTGATAAAACGAATCATGTACACTCTATAACGGCCACCCTATCTGTAGGGCTCTTCGGTAGGAGAGAGCCTGACGAATGAGACCACAAAAAAGGGATGTTCTTCCCAAATAAGAGGCTTGTCTGTATACAATAGAAAAAAACTTACACAACATCCCGGAACATTAACAGCTGAACCTTTATGCTGTTGTTCCCTACCAAAAAGAAACGTGACAACCATTCAAGGGCCAGCATCCAAGCTAGACCGAGCATTTGCTATTAAACTTCTGTCCATGAGAGAAGTCTTAAGACTTCAGATAGGACACTTTTGACACTTTGAGCTCTAGATACCGAGCCAAACCCATTAACTGGGTGATGCAACCAGCCTTAGTATTCCTACAACCTGGACTGGTGGTTGACAATGACAAAAACTACAGATGAGGCTTTTGTGCTTGACCTACAGCATTGAAATTATGAGGCAGTTGCTTTCTCCAGCTTCTCTTTCTCTATCTCCACTTTCCTTAGTTCAGCATGTTGAGCTATGCCACTAGCAAGAGCCTGATGATTGAAGTCCAGTGTCTGCATGAGGTTCTGAAACCTTGGAGGATTGGAAGCTTGCACGACTGGACATTGGTTTCACATCAGATTGTTTTCCTAATTTAAACAGAACATGGATGTTATAAATGAAAACTACGAGCCTCGATTTAGCCTTACCTTTGATGGATTCCACAAAGAAAATAAATGGGTCAACATCATCAATAGGTGACTGCAACTCTTCATCATCACTGTAATCATCATCTGAGTCGTAATCCTCATCGTTTGGCTGAAAAGCCTTCGCCTGATGTCAAATAAACACACAGCATTCAGTATATTGAACATCTAATTTTTATTTATTTATTCTTTTAACAACGAGGTTTCCAACATGACGCCTCTTCTGCATGCTTGCAGAATTGGGATGTGGGCACTCATACTCACTCTTAAAATTAATTCTAAAAGGACCAATATAAAAATTCTAAACATAATAATGTGTGGGAACACAAGGAAGTAATGTGAAAAGAAAAACAGGTGAACAACTAACATGACTGAATAAACTTGATCAATGTACATTGTAAAATTCGTATGTAGACAACAATAGATAACAAAGAGACCACCATACAAATTGATGGACAGCTGATTTTATTGGAGTCCTGAAATATCCCAAAGAAACTGAAATAGTAAATAAAGATCCAGAGCACCTTACTCTTTAAATAAAAAAAAGAAAAAAGAAAAAGGAAAAAAAAAAGAAAGGGATCTAGAGCACCTCAAGACGTACCTATAGTACGAAAAAAAAATGAAAATTCAAGGCACGTGTAGTGACTGAAACGTTATTGTCCAGGGCATCTAAACTCTCTTCTTTATTCAACTCAACTCTAACAGGTATTATGTTCTTGAAGTTAATATGATCATGAATAACTAAAACATACAGTGACCTCTTTGAATGCAATCACTAATATTTCATGAGAAATTCCCGTGTCTGCATAATCACTAATATTTTATGGGAAATTTCATAGTGTCTGTAAGCAACAATGGCAATGGTCGCTATCATAAAAAGAGAAGCAATTAGCAGCAACATAAACAGTACATTGGTGCATAATCGTTGTTCTTGTTCATTTTCAGTTTCTTTTTCTTTGTTTCTTTTCTTTGGCACCCATTCCTCCCTCTTATCTGTTTGAACATATATAACAAAAGCATGCAGGCTTTTATCCAGTTTCTTTTGGGTTATGATGTCATGAACAATGTCAAAAGATATGATTCACGTGTTACAGACCTGTGCTGCTAATTTTTGGAGCTTGAGACTCTCAGCCTCATCACCTTCCTCATCATCATCACCCATTTCCTTATCAGACTCATCCTCACCTTCCTCATCTGACTGAAAACCATCCATGTCATCTTCTTCACCATCATACTCCTTTTTAGATTCTGGCACAAGAAAAAAGCAAACAAGATTAAACAAAGTCTAAGCACAAATAAATACTGGAAGCAACAAACCAATAAACTAAAAAAAAGAATAGACAGGCATCGAGAAATATGAACTACAAAAGCTAACCAAGCAAAAGGACATAAACATTCACACTTTGAAGTCAAAATAAAACAGAGTGGAAAAGCAACTTGGTAGCAGAAGCTCGAAGAAATCATGATCAATCACTACTAAAAAAGGAAATAAAATTAAGCTATTAAGCACCTGCAACTTGATCCTTGTAAGCAACGAGCAGCTCAAGTGTAGCATTGAAAACACGTCCAAAAGCTTCCCCTGGCAACTGCTCCTCAGGGAGGGCAAGAAGTGAGGTCAACCCCAAGCAACAGACCTTCTTATCATGTTCCCTACAGTAACAATAAGAAAAAATTGAGAACAAGGAAAGGATAATGGATGATTATAATGACTACTGGAGCTAAATACCTTCTAAAATTTGCACGAATACCACTTTTCTTAACTTGCTGTAGCATAGTAAACCACAGACTAAAAACTTCTGTTGAAACTCCAAGCTTATGAAGCACTCCAAGAGTTAAGGAAGCATTGTAGTAGAGAGCATTTGCAATCTGCAGAGGCAGTGAGGCCTTCATCATGAATGCATAATAATAAAGTGGAACTGACAGCATTATGCACATATTAAAAAAGGCAAGAAAAACGTCCAAGACCAGTTGAACTTTAATTCAAGAGGCCTAATATCCAAAGCATGGTCAAGGATGGACATGCAGCCTTCATGAAGAATACATAATAATCAATCAGAATGACTGACAACATTATGCACAAAGAAAATAGCAAGGAAAACATCAAAACATCCAAGATGATCAAGCGAGCAAAAATCCACAGCATGGTCATGAATCAAATTGAGGAGAGGAATTTTACGGAATTATGTGTTTATTGGACATATACCGCATGCACTGCATATGCATACATATAAGCTATGTTTTGCTTGTATGCGCGCCATCATTGCACTTAAAAACCCAGGGAACATGTAAAGCACAAACAAAAGAAAGGAAACAAAAACAAAAGAAAGAAGATAATGATCTAGGACATAAATCACCATCATTGCACTTAAATGCCCATGGAACAGGTAAAGGTTGAAGTTGTAGGAAGAGAAAGGTAGGAAGGTAAAACAAAGATAGAAAAAAGCAAACAAAATGAAAGAAATGAATATGGTTTCAAAGGGAATAAGTAGTAACCCATGATAGGGACAAAGGAACCGTATACTCCAGACCAAGTAAAAGAAAATGAGATTTATGGGTCAGGGAATGAGTTAAAAGTCACAAACTGCTGTACTTCTACATAAGAAATCACAATAGTTGCAATTCACTAGATACAACTTGTCAGTTACATGGAAAGGCACAAAATCAATACCAGAAAATCCCAAAAAGGATGTTGTAATTACAAATATACTCAGCAACTGAATAAGCGTATGGGTTGGAGGCTTGGAGCCCACTGACACATAAAAGTTTAAGCTGACAGCTACTGTACTTCCTTATAGTACCCCAGTAAAGCACTTATATAATATGGTAACTAGTTCTACTGTCACATACAATAATACAAAAGAACTAAGAAAATGGAGAGCATCGTTCACAGCAGTAAAAATGTGCTTAAATATCCAGCTTTTGTAAAAATGTGCTTAAATATCCAGCTTTTTCTCATGTGATATCTGAAAACATGCCAGCAATATAATTCTCTTATATGGTGCAAATTATCAGAAGTATCATCAACCATATGTGTCGTATAAAATGAAATATTAAGATTGGAGCATCACAAAACTAGGAAGGTTTATCAAATGCAAATATTAAAGTATAACAATTGCATGTAATAGAGAATTTATGGACAAAATGATGAATCAGTAAAGACCACAGACTAAGAAAACATACAGAATATGTGCACCCCAAGAGCATAGTAAAATTGGAAGATTTAAATTCAAAATTACAAATCTCAGAATTGGATTTGATAGATTGAGAAGATGCAACTTGGGTATCAAATCAACTTTCGCAACAGGCGACCATAGGCAAGTAGCAAACAACAGTTACAGGGCCTTTGGATCGGACTTGATTAAAATTTAAGAACCTAAGCACAACAACAAGCCAATGGAATAAGTGCACATAAGCTAGCAAGAGTCACATTCTATCCCACAGAAGGAAAAAAATTGTTGTAGTAGATAATTTAGGAGTTCTAAGCTAGCAAGAGTCACATTCTATCCCACAGAAGGAAAAAAATTGTTGTAGTAGATAATTTAGGAGTTCCATTAAATGGAGCAGCATTTGTCAAAAAACAGAAGGAAAAAAATTGTTGTAGTAGATAATTTAGGAGTTCCATTAAATGGAGCAGCATTTGTCAAAAACTAATTAGCAATGACACAAGACCATGTTATCATTTTGCTCCTCTTCAGTGCAAAAAAGAAAATTCACACTTGAAATGAAGCTATTGAATAAGAGAATAAATGAAATAACACACGAAGGACATAAAAGAAATGTCCATCTTGTTAAAATACCAACAACGTTAGAGGTCTACCTTAAAGAGTATATAGCTTAACATCAAGTCGAAATAAGAGAATAAATTCTGGATGCGGCTTCATAAGAAACAAACAAATTAACATAATTTCTCACCACTTGTATCAAGAGACATTTTAAGTATGGCTTCTCCGCTCGACGTAGGCGATCGATTGTAATCCTGAGATATGGCTCAACCCATTGATCTACTTGACCTTTGCAGTTCTGGAATACCACCTCAATAAGCTTTGGTGCAGGCTCTATGTCATTGTCTTCCATATTTTTGTCAGACATAATCTGCACATTGTTAAAGGCCTTTTAACAATGCGACAAATGGGGAATAAGAACTGGAGCAACATTAAACTAAAACTAATTAAAAATAGAACCCGCGTAGTGAGCCCGCAACCCACCCACCCACGCACATACCCCCAAAAATACTTTCCTGCCAATATTTCAACTAATATAATCGTATGAAGGGGAAAAGATCACATGAGATTATCATTAACTCACAGATGAGAGCATAGACCATAAACTTTGTTGGTAGTCAGGATCTTTACACGTAAGAAAATGGGTGGTACCCCTTGATATGTAGTTGTCAAGTGGTACAAGAATATCTGCATGGAAATTGCTTCATAAGATCAAATATGTATGTAAAAGATAAAAAGAGAATACTTTAAATTTGGACATTTATCTTAGAATTCTAGAATCAAATCATCGTCAAGTTATAAAAAAGAAAGGAACAAAATTCAGTAAGAAAATAAAAAATCATTAAAGAAACCAAGAAGATAAGATTTCCAAATAGAATAAAATAAAGAGAATGGTGGCCTTAGAGGTCAATATATTGACATTTAATGCAAAAAAAAAAGCATTCATTCTCTTGTAAGAATGCATTTAATATCTGAGAAATTCACTGATCAAAGAGGTGGTAAGAATAATAAGAAATTTGTCAGTAAGCATGATAAGAAATTTTATCTGAGATATATCAGTATTAAGCTTTTACTAGTTTAGTCTGATTTGTGTCAACTAATTTCACTTCAAAATACCCACTTCTATTCAGATAGACATTCTCCGGAAATATGAGTGCTTGGTGAGATCAATTTTCTATACATTAAGAAAAAATTAACAGAGCATTCATCTTAAAGTATGATGAAACAAGCAGAAATCCCCTTTCTATATATAAGAATAACACTTTATCTAATGTTGTAATTGCAATGAATACACAAATAAAAAGGTGAAAAAGTAGTTTGATTTAGTATGCAAGAGAACTAAAAATATTGATTTGTGGATAATGATCAGTGAATTAACAATAGTAAATTTTAAAAGATAAAGCGATACTGGATAGTGGACACATATACCAGATCAGTTTTTCTAGATACAAATCGAAAGGTTTGGCCATTGTCAGGAAAATCGATCATAACTGTCTGCTGAGCTAATATTTTAAAAAAAAAGTTAACAAGAAGAGAGTATGCAACATGCACACTGTTTCAGAAGCCTTAAAAGTCAGAAAATGAGTCTTAAATGTTTCTGTTATTAAATCTATGCATGAATTTAAGTGAAAGAAATCAACAAACAAGTGATAACAAATTAAGGAGATATATTTAGAAAATACACATCACTACTACCAACCAACTAGCAATACATGTGAAAGCAATAAGAGTAATGTGTTCCATGAATTTTGTCTTAGTACACTGAATAAATGTAGCTCATAGAACAAGCAATGAATATGACTAGAAAAGAAATAACTGTAATAAGCAATGCTAGCTTTTCAGGACTTACTCTCGAAAAAATCAATCGCCCAATCAGCAAGGGCTTCCATCATCAAAGGCCAAAGACTCCACATCTCTAAGGAAATTGTAGGAGAATAAAATGTCATATAAGAGACAATTTCCAGAACCTCCTCAAAAACCTCTGCATAAATGTCAAAGCGGAAAAGGTAAGACAAAGGATTACATTGTTTCAAAATTATATAAATATTTTCCACAATTCTCCATAACATGCATATAAGTGCATCACATGTAATAGTTCAAGACGCACTAGAAAACACAACACTCTAACCGAAAAAGAAGTAAAGCAATTGGCATGAGAATGGAAGAACATTATGTAAGAGTACACTATTTAAGTGGACTTGATCTAAAGTCAAATTACTTTCAGGACTAAGATCTAATAACCAGGAAATCCAATGTAAATAGGCTTCTCGAAACAAAGCCACAAACACGAAAATATCAAGAAATAAAATAAAAATATATATGTCATCAAGAAAATTACATCAGAGTATTTAATTTTGAAAAGAAAGCAGTAGATTTTTGGCAAGGTATCAACTCTTAAAATAAAAGAAAAGATAATTAATACTCTAAACCAGCCATATAGCTTATTTACTGTCAGGGGAAGTCCAGTAAATCAAGTACATAACATACACACAGGTAAATCAAAAGAAGTGGAGGGAGCAAATTCAATTTGTCAGTGATATGTATTATCACCTAAGATGTCACATTAAAATAGAATTATTCCACATGCTATAACACCAGAATATATCATGGAATTTATACCCGATCATCCAGCATACAACAAAAGCAATACCCAAATGATCATATCAAATAACTCCTACCATGTATTCACTCAACAGCATATGGAAAGTATGCCACCTGAAGAGAAGAAATACCTTGACCATCTGTTGTCAACATCCTTCGCATGATTGGTAAAAGAGTAGGCTCAATCTGGACAAAAAGATGAGGAAGCCTGCTCACAGATTCCAAGATTGTGCTTATAGCACGCAAGCAACCAACAGCTGCCAAAGCACCTGGATCATCAGCATCGTCATCTGCTTCTGATGTATCCAAGCACCTCCAAAATGCGGCCGCCTACAAAAAGAAAATGAAAAGGATGGTCTAAGCATGGATTTTATAAACAGCTTAATGAAGAATTTTTCTGTATGTATGCCATAAATACCAAATTCTGACATAATCCGAGAGCATATGGTGCCATCTCTTCACCGAACTTGTCCACTATAGTCTCGAGGGTGAAAACAAGGTCCTCATTTTCGACCTCATTCATTAGTTTAAAAAACTCTGCAGACAATGCATTGAGAAATTATATGTGAGAATGAAAATGTAGGTAACAAACAAAAAGTACGGCAAACTTACCATCAAGTAATTGAGGAATAATAGGACGAATCTCATTTAGATCTGTATAAAAGATATATATTAGTTATTAAAGTTTTCATAAGAAAATTGTTTAGTGAATGCAAAGAAACTAACCTTTACATGCTTCAACAAAAGATCGCAATGCAAAGACAGAATCAACGCGTACAGGAAGTTCAGGATCACGCATGCCAGCAACAACACAATGTAATGCCCTCCGAAAATTGTTTTGGTCGGAAAAGTTTATGAATGCATACTGGCCTGCAACCCACGCCGCCTGTTCACCATGAATAAGATGTATTAGTGAGCAATTAAATATCTAACAAAGGATGAGAGCAGGTATAACATCTAAAAGACCACAACAACAAGAGCAGGTATAACATCTAAAAGCCCACAACCTTTGCTCTAAGATGACCAACAGGACTTGTGAATTCAGGAAAAACATGTTGCACCAACATGCGCTCAAGCTCCGATTTATAAGGCTCGGTTTGCTTTAGTTTATCACACAATGTCCCAATTGCGAGAAGAGCGCCATCTTTTTGTCGATATGGTTTATACTCAGCAGGTGCCTCATCATACCTAGTAGAACAAATTAATACTATGTAAAACAGCTTTTCATATAACTGGTGGGCATATTAGTTAGGTATGCCAGAATGAAATTTACCTCCTAAAAATCCCAACTATAAACCCAACAAACTTCTGGAGGTTTCCCTTCCCACGTTTTCTCACTAGCTCGCTCACGAAGTCCATTGAGGCAGTCCGAGGACTGTACAGGTCCTCAATAATATCTGCACTCAAAAGATGCAGTCTGCTTACCAAGGGCTTAATACAAATAAAAATAGGTCTTCCAATAGACATCACTCATGAAAACAATAACTTTAGGCTGAAGCCTCACCATAACCCTTTCTGACATATTCATGAGGATCTTCATCCCATAATTTCTGATCGTTGTCACCGAAGCACATAAGAGGGAAAATTATCTCGAAAAGAATGATATCCAGTTGTGGCTGTAGCAAGTGATACATTGCATTCCTTGAAATACTGCAAGAAGAGGCAAACAAGATATACAATGGATCAGTCACATAGGATGCAGGAAAATCAGATTTTAATTAACTGACCATGAAAAATTGTGTCCCTTTAAACTTTTGAAAATGCTTGTAATCAAATATTCGTAGAACACAAAGCTAACATTACAAACACCTCTAAAAAAATAGCTTACACATAAATTTTGAAAAATAAACAAAATCAATGCAAGCAGGACCTTAAAGCTCCGTTGCATGATACAAAACAGCTCAACTGCTGCACCACATCAACACCAAGAACTAAACAAAAATTTAAAAAAAATGGTCCAAATGATAAACAAGAATAGTCTGTCCACAGAAAAGCCTATTAAGATAATCACACACATGCTTCCAGGTTACAATAGGCATTACATGGTGCAGCTCAGAAGGTTAATGGAACCTGGAAAATAACATCAACTTTAGCTCAGTGGTATCAAAGCACATTGTGTTGATGAAATTACAATTAAGTAGCATACTGCTCAAGTATACTGAGAGTTTGGGAATATTTTGGACTAATGTGAAATGTTTTTTAAGCTAAAAGAATATACGATAGGGCTGAGTAAATTTTGGTTCAAACCAAACAAACTGACCGAACCGTCCGATTTTGACAGTTCGGTTGGTCTTGTGTTCCTTATGGTTCCGGTCGGGTTGAAAAAATTTCAACCCGTATTAACCGAACCGACCGAACACGAGTGTACTGAGAATCTAGGATGTGATAGTATGTAATTCAGATTCCTTTCTCTCTCACAGTCATGTAATTCAGACTCCTTTCTCTCTCACAGTCACTAGGGCCCACCCATGTAACCCCTACACTTCTCAATTAAAAAATACAAGCTGTGACCCACTCGTCGCATGGGGAATAGAGAAAGGACATTCAGTTATGAGAAGTTCATCATGAGCCCATTAAAATATATCAATCATCATCTTCACAATATTTACTCTCTTGTTCTTCTTCGACTTTCATTTTCTTTAACTGCTTGTATGTTCTCTTGTTTCATTTTCAAATCTCACCTACACCTGACTATTATAGTATGCATTGTTTCGGGGTTGCCACCATGGTACCCATTGATGGTGCTTGGCGGGAGATTTCATAGAAACCGAAATTACTGACCCAACCGAACCGTAATAATCCGGTTTGGTTGGGTCAGTTCAGTGTCTGTTATCGGTTTCACAAAAAAGGATAAAAACCAACCAAACCAACCATTTGCTCACACTAATATACAAATAAACCGAAATTACTGACCGAACCGTAATAATCCAGTTTGGTTTCACCAAAAAAAAAGGATCAGAACCAACCAAACCAACCGTTTGCTCACCCCTAATATAGAAATAAACAGAATGCTTGAATAAGGAGTTCTGGACAAAACTATGAAATTTGAGATGGGAATACAAGGGAATAAACAAAAAGATTCTTGGATATGGAAACATCTCAGTGAAGGGAAAATGTAGACAAGGTAATGGAGAAAACATTTCAGTAAAATTTCAAGAAATATCAGCAACACTTTTTCAGAACCCTTGATAACAATGACAATTTCATTTCAATGAGCTTCATCAGGGCAAGTCAGTTAATTTAGCAACAACGATACAGTTTTTTCTTTTCTTTTTTTTTTATTTTTTTTCTTTTACATTTTACTGCTCAGATCTGGGATGCATTATGGTCTAGTGCTAGTTCTAATCACTCCTACCATTAGGCTATTACTTGCACCATACTAAGTCATCGGGCAAATGATGAATCATCTCAAATGATTCGCACTCATCTATCATGTAGCAACTTATCCTTCATGTCATGACCTATCTTAGCATATATGCCACATGGCCCACAAACAAGAAATTCATCTCCGCCACGCTAATGTCTTTCCAGCATGTTACTGCATAATTGCTAATAAGATGTATAAATAGCTTCTCCTTGAACAATAGATATTCAGTTATCAGATAGTAGTCTCCATAAGAATAAAACAATTCTATAAACCTTTAAATGGCAGCCGATCAAGGTTACAAAAAGCGCTAGCCAGCCTATATGTTGGACACGATGCCTATGTTTTTCCTGTTTTTTAATTTTTTTAATTACCATTACTAATAGTAATGCCAATGTTATAGAAAGCTTAGGCATTGGACTGGAACCTAGACAGATTTCTTATGTGGTGGTGGAGGTTTTGCTGAAGGTCGGAGGTATTCATAGTTGGAGGCTGAAGGAGTTTGGAGGAGGTTGGAGAATGCAGTGTTGCAATGGAAGAAATCACGATCAAGACCTAAAGGGTGTAATCCATATTGGCAGAGCACACTCCCCTAGGCACTCTCAAAATCTAGGTGGGCAGCCTAAGTACTGCCTAAAACGCTAGGCACTAGGCCAAGGTATCACCTAGGCCTAGGCATACACCTAGACGGGCTAGGCAGAAGCTTTTTAAAACATTGCCACCAATATTAGCCACTACTCTTTTTTCTTCAAGTTTCATTTCATTGCTTCATTCTTATCCTTTTAAATCTAATAAAGCTTCATTCCAATTTATAGTTATAAAACTATCTCTTTCTAGTTTTATTGCCAAATATAAAATCATTTGCAGACAGCAAATGCTGTCAATTGATATTGTGAACGTCAATGAACTCATTCGTGGCCATACGAGTTCATAAGAACCTTATCACAAATCTTTTTCTGCTAAAGGCTCACTTTTAATTATTGAAAAGAGTTTATATACAATAACATCATTAGTCAAAGGTTCATAACTTTATCAAGGCTCTTTCTACACAAATCACAAGGTTCAATCTGAATGAAACTGATGAACTTTACTATAAAAACAAGCTCATCTGTATTAAACTATTTACCTCGAAACAACTGTTTGTTTGCCAACTGAACTGGTAAGTTCCTTAGCAATGTCCTTTGGTTTCTATTTTGCATGATTTTTTATGTTTCTTTAGTAATGATATTACAAATAGAACCATTTGAGTTGGTTCGGTCATGGTGCAATGGAAACCATTGAATGCACCAATTAGAAGTGATGAACTTATTACTAATAAAGAAAGAAGTAGAAGTAGACTTAAGAGGACTTGCCTTGAAACTGTTAAGAAGGATATATATGATAATGATTAACTTAACTAATGGAGGAGATACCCATCAATAAAAACTGAGTAGAAGAGTATGATTAGCCAAAGACAAAATTTTGGGATAAAGGCTTGACTGTCGTCATTGTTACTGTATTCTACTAATAAAACATCAAGGAAGAAGCATTGTGCAGTAGCATTAATCAGAACTAGAGATCAGAAACAAGTGACTTTTCTCAAGGAAGATAAGTCAGATATTATTTAGATGACGATGTATTAATTGTTTATACTTTGTGTATCTTGCTCTATCTCAGTTTTTCTTTTGCTGCTTCCACAGCTGTGGAAATTTATAAAATTTCCACTCAATTTCTGTTTTGACCATTGTCTTTCGAAAGCATGAGCATGAATTGGGTTGATGCAATCAGTCTTTAATGTACCACTCAGAAGGTCTAATTTGAGTGAGTCTGCACAGCAGCAGGAAAAATGTAATTATTCAAATGCGTAGAGTTGTAGAGCATCTAGATGCAAGGTTTTAAATATCGGATGTCGGGTTCATGTCGGACGGCTGAAATCCATGTCGGATAGCGGAAATCGGGGATATATCGGGGGACATGGACTAAATATCGGATTGCCATATCGGGTGATCCACATATGTATAATATCATGCCCTAAATGTAATCTAACTATCTAAGCATTCCTAAATTCATAACTTCATGACTCTGCACATTTCAACATTCATATGCACATTTAAAATAAAATAAATCTCTCCTTATTAATCAATAATCATTAGCCTATTATTAATCAGTTAGCCTATTATTAATCAAGTGATCAAACATCAAGTAATCATTAGCCTATTATTAATCAAAATAGTCCACAAACCAAACATTCACGTGTGAAGAAGAAAAAAAGAAAAAACAGGAAAATCGGCCGATATGGCCGATTTTCCAAACAAGAAAATCGGCCGATATGGCCGATTTTTCGCCGATATGGCCGATATGTCGGTAAAAAACGATATGCGACTTGTTTTTCCCCGATTTGTGTCGTTGGACCCCTCAATCCGCTATATCGGCCGACATGTCCGACATGTCGGCCGATATTTAAAACACTGTCTAGATCTAGATAAAACAAGAAGGAAAAGAAGGAACTTATGAACAAATATGAACTTGCAACATTTAAAGAGTTTCTGAATTGTATTTATCATAATGAAAGAATTTAAAGAAAATAAATGTTGAATCCTGTGAGATTCAATTATAGTAAACTTAGTGGCAATGTTTTCCAGAACAAAGATAGAATCCTTCAAAATTCATTGATGACAAATAAAACTGGAACAGAAATCTATCTACAAATAAACACTTTTTAGATTTTTTAACTTTTGACTAATAGAAAAAGAAAGATCACTAATAGACAAACCTGCTACTTAGGTACTGAAGGATAAGGTTTATAACCCTATCGGGTAAGTATTCGCCAGTACGGATCAAATTGAGCAAGCGTAGATGGCATTCCAAAATCTTTCCAGCATAGGACTTCTGAAACATTTGAGCAAAAGCTTTACTCTCAGCTTTCTGGAGCTTCAGGTCTCCAAACCTGCAAATCAGCATCAATAGGCTAATTTAACAGAAAAGATGATAGAAACATCCAAATTACGTCTAATCCACTGAATATTCACCTCGTATAAAGACGATTCAAGATGTGGATTGTCCACTTTTTCACTTTCCACCAACCCCATGACTTTCTTAGCTCAGGATCTGTAGGTTGACCTTCTGAAGGGACTGGTCTCTCCAATATATTCAGGAAAAGGACCATCCAAGCGTTAAATGCATTGAGATCAAACAGATGCTTCGGAATCTCCAACTGAAATATAGAAAGGAAAAAACAGAATAAAGGGATAGCTTTAGATGCTAAAATATTGCAAAAAACATAATGAACCATCATATTGTGGGCACATACATATATCGATGACCAAAAGATTTTACATATAAGCTTGATCAGGTCTGCTGCTTCAATAGAAGGGTTGCCAATTTGAACCAGCTTGTTAAAAATATTTAACAAGTGAGGAAACGTCTCATCCACAATGAGATAAACTGGTGTTCGCTCTTCATCAGACTTGAATCTTATCAGAAAGATAGAATATAAAGGTTAGCACAGCATAAATCTACATGAACACAGAAAACTTTAGACCTGTTTTATAGAAATATCAAGTATGATCACGTGACCAATATATCCAAACTAGTTAACAGAAAATCACAAACTTTCACCATTTCAAAAAAAATTCTAATTAGAGATGTCAAGATGAAAATTTTAAGTTTACACCATAACCAAAATCCTAAAAGCAAACATGAAAAATTAATTAAAATCTCAGGATCCCTTGCATTAGTAGATAATTATACATCTCAAATCTAATAGTAAAGTAGGTCAATCTTAAGTTGCTTAGTATGATTTTTACTCCTTACACAATTAAATTTTATAAAACAGATTCTTTTTTATTAAATATCACAAAAAAAGTCCAAATAGTCAATAAAGAACTTAACAGAATTAGTGCTAGTCAAGACAACCATAGCACAAAGTAATACTCAAAGTTTACTTGTTGGGAGTTGAAAATCATAGTTACAGCTGGCCCAAACATTCTGCTTTCTGTCTTTTTCCTTTTTTTTTTTTGAGTAATCTTATTAAAGACCAGAGGTCCTTTTTTCAAAAATCCATTTATATTCTCCTATCTTATCTAAAGTGTCCGCTTCAAAAGAAAAGTGCTTTATGAGGCGTGAGCGAACATTTCAGTTAGATTTTAAGCGATAAGGCGTAAGCTAAGGGATTAATAGTTTCTCTCTAGAAGTGATTACCCTTCATAAAGTTTCGAAGCGAGTTTTAGAAAAGCTTTTGTCAAATAATAGTAATATCATTTGATTTGCGTATGCATGAAATATAATGATTATAGAAGGAGCTGGTTCCAGAATCCACATATAACAAAAGAGATTTTACTTACTCATATTTCCTGGAAAGAATCCTTAGCACATAGAGAGCTCCAAATACTTGTTGGCCTTGTAATTGTAAGTTGCATGTTATCCAGTGAAGAAGGCTAGGCCACTGTTCAGGGTAATCAGCATGGATTAAAGTTTTAATGCATTCACCAAGCTGTGCCCTGCATAACAAAGAATATGAATATTTGTGAATCAGAAGACTCCCTAATCAGGATAAACAAGAGAATGAAATACTTGCAATAGCTGATCAAAATGTACAGCATGTAAAGGTGTTTTAAGGGCCCACTCATGATTCTAATTTCTAAAGATGTGAAACAGTTATCATTACACTGCATCATCTAACAAAAAAACAATATAAAGCATTTTGAATCAGGAAAATGAAGAAAGTCATCATAAACTACAGAGGATGATCACGAATACTCGTAATTATCTAAACAAAACATCATATGTTTGCCAACATCTCAAACATAAACAAATTGATATACAGAGTATGCTACATCTAGTAATATGACAATAAACGGAGTGCTTCAGATTCAATCTGTCACAAGCTTAGCACCTAAGTATGATGGTTTGCAAGGAGCAGATATGGTTAAGAAACAAGCATGACAGGGTGATCAATGAGACATCATAAATCAGTATAACATCAACCATAGAATTGCCTTGTAATACAAATGGCATGTCTTGTTGCAATCATAATGGACATCAGCAGAAGTAGATTCATGAAGCTAGCAGATTCACTAAGCTCCAAAACAGAAAAAATAAAAAATAAAAAATCCAGATCATAATCTACCTCAATAATGGTGGAACTTGAGTGATAAACCCAAGGATATTGTCCCGAACCATACCCTTATCGCTCGCTGAAATCTTTTGAGGCTCACCTAAAATAATAAACAAAAAAATATTCAAGTCTCATGCCAACAGAATAGAGATATCCTGACCTTGTCACTGTACATACCAGGCTCATCAGGTGTCCAGTTCTTCGCCACAAAGTTCTTAAAATGAATGCTAGCAACTTGTCTTATAGCTAAATCACAATTTCCATCCACAATGATTTGCAATAGCCTCACTAAGTGCTGTGGTGCATACTGGAACTGGAAATGACAATAATAAATATCGTGATTATCATATAAAAGAGGAACAGATATATAGAAACAATTACATCTATATGGTCATCTTCATTGTCCAAACAAGCAATCAAGTTACACAGAGTGTAAGCATAGCTACAGATATATTAGAAACAATAGGACTGAATGAGCTGCTTTGTAGGTATCATCACAAAAATAACCGGTGGCTAGAACATATGGCTTTATGAAAAAGAAAGAAATAGTAAAAGCATCGAAACATAAAAGGGCAGTCACATAAGGAGAATAGGATCTCAATAAATGATGGAATTTATAACCAATAAAATTTCAGTTAGTTTCTTAAGCTTCCACAGGTGCTTTGATATAACTCCAGTATGTTGCCCACTTAAGCATCGTAACATGTGAAGAGAATGTGTGGGATCAAAATGGATCAGATCAGATCTCAGCGTCCAAATTCATCTCAAATAAAACGTTAGGGTAGAATTTTGAATCTACGGAAGGAGAAAAAAATTCCTTCCTCAGTGTCTCTACTTGGTCTTCCTCTTTGCTGCTAGAGTTGTAAACTTCGCACATCTGACAACGGCAGAAACAGTTCCTCTGTGAATTGTAGAAAATACCTATGAAACTTGAAACATGATGGAAACTTTTGAGTGAAATACTTGGATCACAAAATTGTTGCAAAAGATAAAAAGTTTTTCAGCTTTGATCGCATGGATCAAAATCCACAAGCACATCATCTTGGAACATCAAGTAAGCAAGCACCACTTAGGGGGGAAACAACAGAGTCAAACGCCATCATTTGAAGTATGAGCTCTAATTAATACTCAACTAATAAAGAACGCCAAATTAAGCAAAGACCGGATCTTTTCTTTCTCGTTAGTTATTCAATTAAATTCCACATAACCCTAAAAGCAAGTACTCTCAAAATTGAACATTTAATCACCAAAAATTACTTCAAGATCAGAAAGATTAAATAATCAAACCAATAACTCACCAAAACATTTGTAATGGAACAGTATCAACAATCAATCAATTCAAAACAAAGACTAAAATTTCAAAGCATCCAAAATTGAACCTGATTAAGGCTCTCCTCCGCCGCCTTACGCTCGTCAGGATTGGGGCTGAGCGCCGCCCGAAGAATTACCGCGAGACTCGGGAGATCCATTGCTCTCTCTCTCTGTAACGAACTACAAAAACCCTAGAAAGACGAGCGAAACCCTAGACTAGGGTTTCGGGCGAGGAGTCAATCGTCTAGGGTTTTCGAGTGCGTGCGCTTTCGTTTGCGCTTGAGAGGGGAGAGAGGGGAGGGGGAGAGAACAAGAGAGAGTGTGCGAGAGAGAATCGGAGGCGTATTTAAATCTAGGGTTTAGGTTTGACAGCGGGGAGTGGGTCGAGTCCAGGTTAGATGCGGCTTTGTGTACAGCTCGGATCGAATCGGGTTGCCACACGTGTGCGGTTCGATTCGTGAGGAGAAAGGTTCGCGTCTTTGATTCTTTCGGACAGCGTGCGATGATCCTCTTCCCTCGGAGGATGGGGGCAAAGCGTCGGATATTTTTTGGAGGTTTTTTTTTTCCCCCAAGTATTTTGGGGGAGGGTTTTTTTTATGGCAGTCTGGCTTGATCGCATAGTAAGCGTTACAATCATAAATTAAAAGATCATTCTTGATTTTCTTTAAAAAAAAAGATCGCTGTAGATAAATGATTAAGGTGAGGAAAGGTAGAAAGTTTTAGGTATTTTTACGAGTTGTTGATGTCAGTTATCAAACGTGGGTTATTTGAGAGTTTGCAGAGTGATTAGAGTCTTCTAACTCTTGCTAATGAGTGATTCTGGGGTTTGAGAGTTTGGCGAGGAGGTCGGGGGTTCAAACACCTAGGGCAACACCATACATTTATAGTCTTTGATTGGGCCTTGGGGCTCTTGGGCCCTGGCTCTTTGATTTCTAATGATGTTTTCTTTTTATTTTTGTTTTTTTTAGCTGCCTGTTGTTACTACCAGTTTGCTTATTATGACGATGTTGTCAAGATTCCATTATACAATTTGAAATTTAATTCACTCATGGATAGTTTGTTAGTCACCAAAGTGACCATACCTTGAAATTACATACTTATTAAATTATAATTTTCAATTACTCATGATTAAGTGATGCTACTAATTAAATGACAAGATCGTATATATTGTCATGAGTAAGTTGAAGTTTGTTGATTATAAAATATTTAAGAATCACCCACAGGTTGATTGGTAAATTTTATAATCTATAAACATGACCATGGTTAATTAATATATCTGATTAGATATGTTTAGAATATCCAAAGATAGCAAGCATGTCTAATTGGAGTGTATATAATTGCCAATTATATGAAATAAAACTAAGCATCAATTATGTTTATTGTTGTACATTGAAGAATCACCCAAATGAGAACTTTGATGTACATTTGTTGTTTAATTTGAATATTATCTGAATATGTATTATGTGTTTAAGTTTATAACTCAAAGCATTAATGTGTCAGTATTCTATATGTTTGCAGCACATGTTTATCTTCATTCGCAAGCCTCGTCTATTGTAAAGTTCAATGGGCTTAATTTTCATGAATGGTGTGAACAAATTCAGTTTCACCTAGATGTTCTGGATCTTGATTCAGCACTCTTGTATGATAAGCCCGCTGCTATTACTGATTCTAGCAGTGCTGAAGAGAGATTTTTTTCATAAGGCTTGGGAAAAATCAAATAGACTTAGCTTAATATTCATGCGGATGACGATAGCAAACAGCATTAAGTCCACAATTCCCAAAACTGATAATGCAAAGGAATTTATGAAGTTTGTGGAAGATCTCTCGCAACCTGACTCTGCTGATAAGTCAATTGCAAGGACATTAATGGGTACGTTGACCATCATAAAGTTTGATGGTTCTCGTACCATGCATGAGCATGTAACTGAAATGACAAACACAGCAACAAGATTGAGATATATGGGAATGGAAGTTCAGCTTGATAATCTTTTTGCTGAGACTCTGTTAACCTTGCATCATAATGTTGGAACTAAACAAAGTTTAGTAGATGAAAGTTCAGCTTATTTGTGGCATAAACATTTGGGACATATTTCCAAAGAAAGAATACAAAGATTGGTAAAGAATGAAATTCTTTCTAATTTGGATTTTACCGATCTTGGTATTGTGTGGATTGTATTAAAGGAAAATATACAAACCATACAATTAAAAAAGCAGCCATAAGAAGCACGCAGCTCCTTGAAATTATACACACTAATATATGCGGACCTTTTGATGTTCCATCCTTTAATAAAGAAAAATATTTTATCACATTTATTGATGATTTTTCACGTTATGGATATGTCTACTTGTTGCATGAAAAATCAATCAGTAGATGCTCTGCAGGTGTTTATTAATGAGGTTGAAAGACAATTAGATAAAAGGGTGAAAATCGTTAGATCTGTCAGGGGTGGTGAATTTTATGGAAAGTATAACAAAACAGGTCAATACCCTGGTCCATTTGCCAAAATTCTTGAAAAACACGGCATATGTGCTCAGTACACGATGTCGGGTACACCATAAAAAATGGTGTTGTAGAAAGGCATAATCGTACACTAATGGACATGACTAGGAGTATGTTGAGTTTTCCTCTTTACCCTTGTCATTGTGCATGTATGCTTTAAAAACCGTAATGTATTTGTTAAATAGAGTTCCTAGTAAGGCAGTTCCAAAGACTCCTTTTGAACTGTGGACAGGAAGAAAACTCAGTTTGAGACACCTTCATGTTTAGGGTTGTCCTGCGGAAATACAAATTTATAATTCACATAAAAAGAAACTGGAGTCAAGAACAATCAGTGGTTTCTTCATTGGTTATCCAGAAAAATCTAAAGGATATAGCTTTTATTGTCCTAGTCATAGTATGAGAATTGTTAAAACTAAAAATGACAAGTTCATTAAAAATGGTGACATTAGTGGGAGTATAGAACCACGTAAAGTGGAAATCCAAAAAGTTAGAATGAACGTTCCTTTAACTTTAACTTTTTGTGAAGTTGTTGTTCCTACAGTTGTTAAATAGTTTAATGACTTTCCAGAACAACAAATAAATGATCAAACACTCCATGAAGACATTGTTACCAATGAATCTGTGATAGATATAACCCATGAAGAAGTAGCTTTAAGAAGGTGTCAAAGATAGAGAATATCTGCTATTTCTGACGATTATGTGGTTTATCTACAAGAGTCAGAATTTGACCTTGGAGTTGATAAAGATCCGGTTTTATTTTCACAGGGCATGAAAAGTCATGATTCTAATAAATGGTTTGACACCATGAAAGATGAGTTAAAATCAATGGAGCATAATGAAGTTTGGGATCTTGTAGAATTGGCTGAATGTTATAAAAGAGTTGGGTGTAAATGGGTCTCTAAGACCAAACACGACTCAAATGGCAATATCGAACGATACAAGACTAGACTTGTTGCCAAAGGTTTTACTCAAAATGAAGGCGTAGACTATAAATAAACATTTTCTCCTGTTTCAAAAAATGATTCATTTAGAATTATTATGGTTTTCGTAGCTCATTATAATTTAGAGCTACATCAAACGGATGTGAAAACAGCATTTCTAAATGGAAATTTAGATGAAGAAGTTTACATGGACCAACCCGAAGGTTTTTTAGTTGAAGGAAAGGAACACATTGTGTGTAAACTTAAGAGATCAATATACGGACTCAAATAAGTTTCCCGACAATGGTATCTTAAGTTTAATGATACTATCGCATCTTTTGGATTTAAAGAAAACATCGTTGATTGATGTATATATCTAAAGATCAATGGGATCAAATTTATATTTCTTATTCTATATGTTGATGATGTCTTGCTTGCTGCTAATGATCTTGGCTTGTTACGTGAGACCACGAAATTTCTCTCTAAGAACTTCGAAATGAAAGATATGGGTGAGGTATCTTATGTGATTGGAATTGAAATATTCTGTGATAGATCACAAGGATTATTAGGATTGTCTCAGAAATCATATATCAATAAAGTTCTAGAGAGGTTCAAGATGGAAAAATGCTTTGCATCTGTTGTTCCAATTCAGAAAGGAGATAAATTAAGTCTCATGCAATGTCCAAAGAATGAATTGGAACACAAACAAATGGAATGAATTTCTTATTAATCCATCGTTGGAAGCTTGATGTATGCTCAGATTTGTACAAGGCCTGACATTAGTTTTGCTGTCGGAATGATGTGTAGATATCAAAGTAATCCAGGATTGGATCATTGGGAAGCTGTGAAGAAAGTGTTGAGATACTTGCAAGGAACAAAGAATCATATGCTTACTTATAGGAGGTCTGATCACCTTGAGATGAATGGATATTCAGATTCAGATTTTGCTAAATGTTTGGATACAAAAAATTCCACATTTGGCTATTTGTTCCTTTTAGCTAGAGGAGCAATCTCATGGAAAATTGTGAAGCAGTCTGTCATTGCTGCATCGACTATGGAGGTTGAGTTCGTGGCATGCTTTGAGGCAACTGTTCATGGATTATGGCTGTAAAATTTTTTTTCAGGACTTGAAGTTGTTGACAGTATTGCCAAGCCGCTGAAAAACTATTGTGATAATGCTGCAGTAATCTTCTTTTCTAAAAATGACAAGTATTCGAAGGGTGCTAAACATATGGAATTAAAAAACTTTGCCGTTAAAGAAGAAGTTCAGAAATAAAAGGTGTCAGTTGAACATATTAGCACAAATCTCATGGTTGCGGATCCATTAACGAAAGGGTTGTTACCAAAGATATTTATTGAACATGTCGAAAGAATGAGCATTATTGAAAATCATTTCTAATATTTATGTAAAGTTTATGTTCTTTATATTTGATACTTTGAGCTCATCTAAATATTGTTTCTGATATATTAATGCATCCTGATTATTGTTGTTAGTATATGTAGGCGTCAAAAAATGCTAATAGATATCCCAAACATAGAGAGGATCACTCAAAAAATCACAAGAATTGATCTCATACTATTTTGGAAAATCAAGACAGATATGAACTGTCTCGCCAGCGAGACAGTCTTTACTATCTCGCAAGCGAGACAGTGTTTACTGTCTCGCAGCGAGACAGTCTTTACTGTCTCACAGCGAGACAGTCTTTTACTGTCTCGCCAGCGAGACAGTGTTTACTGTCTCACCAGCGAGACAGTGTTTTCTGTTTCGCCAACGAGACAGTGTTGAAATGACCAAAACCACCTTGATAACTGCCCTACACATGTCAATTAATTGCCAAGGGACGTGGGAAACATCGTGGGCGAAAATCACATGAATAACTGCCAAAATAACGAAGTTTGAAACGTGGGAAGG